CTTGCACACCCATGTTCACAGCAGTGTGATTCCCAAGAGCCGAAATGTGGAAGCAGCCCAAACGTCCATGACGGCCAAACGGATAAGCAAAGCGTGGTCTATCCACACAGTGGAATATGATACCAGGCCTTAGAACAGAGTGGGGGCCGGCCCAGTGGTGTAGTACTTCGGTTTGTGCACTCTGCTTTGGCCGCCCGTGGTTCACAGCTTGGACCCTGGGCGTGGACCTACACATTGCTCATCAAGCCACGCTGTGGTGGCATCCCACATATAAAATAGAGAAAGACGGGCACAGATGTTAGCTCAGGGACAATCTTCCTCACACACACAAAATAATAATAAATTAATTAACTAATGAACGAATTCATTTTTTAAAAGGACGGGCTGGCCCAGTGGTGTGCTGATTAAGTTCACACACTCCACTTTGGTGGCCCAGGGGTCACCGTTTTGGATCCTGGGCACGGGCCTGCACACCACTCATCAAGCCACGTGGGGGCGGCATCCCACACACAAAAAAACACAATAGAGGAAGATCAGCCACAGATGTTAGCTCAGGGCCAATCTTTCTCACCAAAAAAAAAAAAATCCTGACACTGTATGAACCCACTTACGTGGGGACCTAGAGGAGTCAAATTCACAGAGGTGGAAAGTCGAATGGCAGGTGCCAGGGGCTGGGAGGGGGATATCGGGAGCTGTTGTTTAATGGAGACAGTTTCAGTTTGGGAAAGTTCTGGAGATGCATGGTGGTGATGGTTGCTCAACAACGTGAACGTACTTAATGCCACTGAACCGCATGCTTAAAAATGGCTAAGATGGTACCTTTTATGTTCTGTGTACTTTCTTCTCAGTTTACAGGAACATAGTAACAGCTGGGGTTTTCAGGTACTTCCTTGTATTCTGAAATCTAGAATCATTGTTCTTTGCTACTCATCCCCTAAAATATGTCTAAAGAACAAAATAAACTCACCCTAGCAAGGAAATAATTTAGAAAGTTTCATTCTTTTTTAAAAAGCAGACAAAGAAAGGGAGATGAGAGAGGAGAAAAATCTATCACAAAGAGGCCACAATCATACAAAAAGCATAAAAAAGCAAATGTATCAGAAAAGCAAATAAAACTGAAAAACATTCCAGCTGAAAAGTTGATAGATGTTAGCCAATAAACCAGAGACAAATACTTCCTAATTTCAACAACAGTAGGAAAAAAATAACATAATTCATGCATTAAAACTTTGAGACTTCATGAAGTCTTCTCAATATGTACTTTCAACTACAAAGGACAAGCTCTTAGAAAATATCTGGATTCTGCCAGAGAACACCAAATCCCCAAATCCGAGTGAGGAAAATCTGGGATGAAACAACATTTTAGAACCATCGAAAAGTACCTGAAATGGTTGCTGCTGGGATGAAAAAGCAGCAGAAACATTTGGAGGAAGCTGGGTTGCTATAGCAACAGGAGTACCAGTCTGCCCATCCTTTCCCGTCACAACCTTTACCTGAGAGAAAATATTTGAAGGGAAAGGAGGCAAAAGGGGAAATCATTTTTAAACGTTTCAAAGTGATCAATACCAGCATCTCACACTCAGACGGTGGGACCTCACTGCGAGGGGACATAACTGGGTTGCCACCATGTGATTCTAGGTGAACACAGTTGAACACATGGTTACTCGGCACCGTTAGAATAAAACTAGGACCTCAGCACTGAAAAGCTTTGTTTTCACTCCAGTTTAAGTCCATTTCAATAAGACACATTTAATTGTTGGCAGGTAACAAGTTAGGTGGGACAAATGTCTCCAGTGGACAGTCACAGGCCTGAGCCCAGCAGGGAGGGGACGCCAGTACTGCAGACGACTGGGGAGGACACATATGGGGGAGGAGAGAAGGCAAATGACACACACACACTCTGAAAATCTAGGGGCCAGCCCTGTGGTGGAGGAGTTCAGTTCAGCGTGCTCTGCTTTGGCGGCCTGGGTTCACAGGTTCAGATCCCAGGCATGGACCTAACCACTCGTCAGCCACGCTGTGGAGGCATCCCACATACAAAGTAGAAGAAGATTGGCAGAGATGTTAGGTCAGGGCAAATCTTCCTCAAGCATTAAAAAAAGAGGAAGATTGGCACAGATGTTAGCTCAGGGTTCATCTTCCTCAAGCAAAAAAAAGAGGAAGACTGGCAGCAGATGTTAGCTCAGGGTGAATTTTTCTGAGCAAAGAAAAAAAAAGAAGAAAAGAAAGAAAGAAAATGTACAATCTCTTAAAAACACATTTTGATCTGATAAAGCAGAACAGAAGGACAAGCTAACCTACATTTCCATGATAACGCACTTCTTAGAGTTAAGCAAATGAGAGTCTTTCAAGAGGAATATCTGCTCCTTGTCCAGAGCATTCAAATGAACAGATCCTTAAATTAAATTGACTCAAAGCTCACAAGGGGAGACACAAGAAAAGAAACTGGTCCATCCAGCTAAACACATCTACAAGTCAGATTGTCATCATACATAATAAAAACTGAACCTTAATATTTCTCAGTACCCTGGAAAAAATGAAGACTTTTAAAAAGTCAAATAAGATGGTAAATTTTATGTTCTGCATATTTTACCACAATTAAATTTAAAAAAAAATCAAGTTAACTCTGTGATCAAGCGAGCTTGAATGAAATGTACAAACATTTCCCATTCTTCCAGGAACCTGCAATGCTATTGCTAATCAAAATACCTAAAACAGCTGACCTTGGCTAAACGTCTTGGCCTTAGTAGGAAATCTAGTTCCGTTAGGAGGCAGTGAAGCCTTTAACCTTACACAGAAGAACCATACTGCGGAAGTGGGAGTGTCAGGCATTTCAGCGCACTGGGGCGTGGCCAGCGATGCCACGATGGGGAAGAGGAGACTGAGCTCTGAGGTCCTCTGACTAGTGTCCACGCTGAGGGGACGTGCTGAGGCCTCTGCCCGAAGTTTATTTGGAGGCCAAGTCACCCGAAGTTGAAGGAGATAAACTGTTAGTCGAGTTTGCTCCTTCTTGGAAGGTGAGAAGCCTCTCACACGTCTTCTCACACAACTTTAAAACACTGAAACGGAATGTTACGGAGTAGTTTACCTTACTGAAAAGGTTAAAAGGGACAGAGATGAACCATTCTCTTTTTTTTTTTTTAAGATTTTTATTCTTTTCCTTTTTCTCCCCAAAGCTCCCTGGTACATAGTTGTATATTCTTCGTTGTGGGTCCTTCTAGTTGTGGCATGTGGGACGCTGCCTCAGCGTGGTTTGATGAGCAGTGCCATGTCCACGCCCGGGATTCGAACCAACGAAACACTGGGCTGCCTGCAGCGGAGCGTGCGAACTTAACCACTCGGCCACGGGGCCAGCCCCTGAACCATTCTCTTGATACTCACAGTTTCTGATACATTGACAACAAATATATCACTCAAAGGTGTCAAGGGGAAATCCTACTATATTGAGAAGCAAAATTAGAAAAACATACTGAAGAAAATAAAGCATTAACACCTCAATATGGGTTTACAGACTGACTTCTAGAGCACTCCTGAAAATCTCCTGAAAACTTGATTTAATGATTTTTAAAGTTTTTAAAAATATATATAAACATAACTGCTCAAAGGTTTGAAAAGCGTGTTTTGACTTGTACCACTCTCCAAGTAAATAACCCCGGGGCAGAGTTACTTAATTCCACTTAAATAATTTGGTTGAAATCGATACTTGCCAGCCCCCGAATATCTTACGGCTGGACGAAGTCGGCTAAGAGAGCTGGCGCTAGTGGGGCGGACTTAAAACACACAGGCACTTGGAATGGGAACAACATGACGTGGAGGCAATATGCACTGAGAAATCTGGATCTCAGTAAAGGTGAGCAGAACCCAACATTCTCTTGTGAAACGACGGTCAAATATGGACTCCTGAGATGCTAGTCAGATTCTATAAGAACTTGTTTCTATTCTTCCAAAGTGACATTAATAGAAGAATTAACCCAACATTAGTCTGACCACCAAAGCTTTCAGAATGCTTATCTTCCACGCTTCTTGCTTCTCACATAATCGACTTTCTAAGCGGAACTTCACCTTCTCCCACAAGGTCTGGAGGACACAGCACTCCAGATGTCATTTAGTTCAGAATAGTCCATGATTTCCTTTAGGATATTCTCTTCCACCCAAGAATTCCTTAGAAGTTCCTTAGTTTCCAAACATAATACATTTTCTAAATAATTGATTTCTAATTTTATTCACTGTACACAGAGGATGGTCCAAATGGGGCTCTTAAAAATTCTATTGAGGTCTCCTTTGGGGTCAGTTTACAAAAAATGTCCACGTATCTTTTAAAAGAATTATTTCACTTTGTTGAGTGGAAGTTTTTACACACAGACACACATTTATATCTAAATATGTATACATACACATAGTCAAACAGGATAATTTATGTTGTTAATTTGTGTTGTTCACATGTTCTATATCCTTATAATTATTTTATTTCCTAGATTTATTATTTTCTGTGATATCCTAAAATCTCATCATTATAATTGTGGGTTTCAGAATTTCCCCCTTAAATTCCATCAGTTGTGCCTTACACATTTTGAGTCTAAGTTAGACCTGTAACTTAGAGACTCTAACACCAACATGTGCGTGTTCAGGATTCTCAGCTTCCGATCCTGGCCAGGCCTGCCGGCTGGCACTGCACAGGGGCCTGTGGGCGCCACCACTCCGAGCAGCGCAGCCTGGGCCAGCGATGGGAAGAACTGGAGGGACAGTTAGAGGGAAGGGCGAGTGGCCGGCACGCAAGTTCTAGCAGACTCAGCTACGTGCAGGGCCCCTGAACTACCCTCCATAAACAGGGGGGCCTCTGCACATCTCTAAGACAGCTATCCAGTCACTACAACAACGACTTGGTGTAAAAGACACCAAGAACACTCGCTTTAAGATGATGCTACTCTGAATTTCACTTGCGGTGGCAGAAGCCATGACATCCATTTCCATGACGAGTAATTAAACACGAGAATTTTTACCTCATCACTAATAACTTCAGACTGCTGCTCCTCCTCCTCTTCCTCAGGGTCCAAATCGTTCTGCCTAAGATAAGCTTGTAACGGGGCATAATGTTTCTTCTTAAAAGCTAAGAAATCCATCATGTTCCCTTGAAGGTGTTGCAAGAAAAACAGTTCGATCAAATACTCCTTGAAGGCCTCCTTCAGCGCCTCCATCTCTCTGTAGTGGTAGTCCAGGCACTGCTTCCTCATCTCAGCCAGCTCCTGGGAGGCCGGGGGGATCTCCTCCAACTTCTTGGGAGCCTTTCTCACCCCCGCACTCCCCGCAGACGTGAGAGGAAGGCTGGAGAGGCCCAGCGGCACTGTGGTCCTGGAAGGGCTGGTGGGGGGAGGTGGGGACGTCATCCCAAATGCTGAAGTCCCCCCAACCCCGACTCCGACCCCGGGAAGCAGAGGTCTGGTCAGCGGCGGCCCCTGCAGCACCTGCTGCTGCTGGATCAGCTGCCCCTGGATGATGCTGCTGATCTGGGGTGGCAAGCTGGCCGTGGTGATGTGGCTGGGGCTGGCCAGGGGCTGCAGGCCGGCCCCACCCGAGGCCGCAGGGCTCTGGGGTCCCAGGTGGTGGACGGTCCCCCCAGATTGCGCATGGGGCTGCGAGAGTCTCCGTTCTCTGACTGAGATGGGAGTCCCTGCATGCTGCAGCTGCACCTGGGCTCCCTGAGCCATCTGGGCGAGGCCCGGGCCCTCCTGAAACACAAAGTGCCCGCCACTGGACGGGCTCAAGCTGATCTGCCTCACCAGCACGCTGGCGTCCACAAAGCCCCCGGTGGGGCTGCTGCTGCAAAGGCCCAGGCCGGGGCCAGGGGCGCCCGCCCGCACGCTCTGCAGGCCCGGCCCCGGCCCAGGGCTGGGCTGGGTGGGGCTCTGAGTCTGCACCTGTTGGGACAGTGGCGAGGTAACCTGGATGTACGACGGAGATCCATGCTCAAACCGCCTCTGCTGGGCACTGAACTGAAAACCTGGAGAGGTGGGGCTGGGGAGCGGCAGAGGGGCGAGCGTGATCTGTGGGCTTCCTCCCACCACCGGTCCAACATTCTGAAGGGCGATGCTCACGTTCTGCCCAGCCACCGGACTCCTGTTCACCAGCTGCTGCACTTGGTAACCGGGTGACTGGGGTGCAGACGGGCTCGCCGACGGTGCGAAGGGTGTGGCGGGGGACTGGGGTGGATTTGGATGGGCCTGCTGTTCCTCTCCTTCGCTGCTGGCGAAGACCCTGGACCTCTGCAGCTGGTGCTGGACATTCTGAGGGCCGCTGCCATGGTGCATTGCTGCTTCTTTATGAAATAATTCCTAAAAAAAAATGCAGACAAGATAAAATTCAGTGAGGCAAATTTTATTTCTATTCGTCTTTCTAACTGCTGCTCACAGGCATTTAGAAAGTCTGACTATCCCACCACAAAGCATACCCTAATTACCCGCTTTACGACTAGGCAAGCCAGCTGCCATGGTTATTAACAATTAGGCACAAACTGATCAGGTAGAAAAATTCTTTACAGTGGAGCAATTTCAGATTAAAATAACTGCTTAGCAGGAGATGTTCAGTATTACGTTTTGACATCAAATTTTTCATGAACTAAAGAGTCTACTTAACTCAGTTCTACTGGCTGGTGGCTTCTGAGCTGATGGTCCAAGGACAGGGACAAGAAGGAGCACGAGGAGATGAAGGGCAGCGGGTCGCACTTGCTGAGGCCAGGCCTCTGTGCTCCGGGCAGGTCTAAAGGCTTTCCACCCCTCAGCTCACTGACTGCTCATGAGAAAGCCACGAGGCCAATTCCACCATCATCCCATTTTACACAGAGGGAACTGAGGCCACGAGAGGGGAACACTTGCCTGAGCTGAGAGACAGCAGCCATCTTCAGGTCCAGGTGCTCCAGCTGCAAGGCCACGCGCCCGCCACTGAGGCTGGCACCTGGATAAGTCCTACCGAGACTCGGCCTTGCCCTGAGCCTGGATTTGGATATTGTCAACCAATCTCAGTGCTCGAGCAGCAGAGCCCTGGATTTGCGCCTGCATGAAGGCTGAACATCTGCTGACAGTTTTTGGCATCTACCCTGGAAACGAAATCCTAGAGGGACTCAGTGATTACCACTTGGTGGCTAGCTCTCTGGTGGAACGCAGTGAACGGAAGCAGACAGAGAGCTTCTGAAGTAGTTGTTCCAGAGACAGACCAGACACACGGTGCAGAGGGACCTGAAGCTCCTGTGGGTCAACCTCCAGCTCCTGCACAGTCGTGACTTGGAACTAAAGCCCAGAACACAGAAGTTTCCCCACTACCAAATATCTCTTAATAAAGTACATGTATTATAGACAAATGCATTTTATAAGACAGCTCAGATCTCATAATACATCAAATAAATTCAGGGGAAACATTTAAAAGTTGCCATAACACCACCAACTACTGTAGCTGCCTTTGCCAAAGTTTGATGCTCAGAGATGCTCATGACAGTGTTTTATATGAAAATTGGATGTAAATTCAACACCAAATAGAAGGGAACAGTGCGTCAGTCCTGGGATGATATAGTTTGCACTCAAGGAAGATGCCAATCTTCCTCTGCTTTGTATGTGGGATGCCTCCACGGCAAGGCTGGTGAGTGAAGTAGGTCCTGCCCAGGATCCAAACCTGAGTACTCCGCCTGGTGAAGCAGAGGGTGCAGAACTTTAACCACTCAGCTGTGGGTCTGGCCCCCAAAATTATGTAATTTTTAAAGATTTAATAAAAAGACTCAAAATATGTGGATAGATGGTTGTTGCTGTGTTGGGCAGATTATAACGATTTTTTTCCCTTTTTATACTTTTTTGCACTTTCTAAATGTTCTATAATTGGTATACGGGTTTTTTTTACATTCAGGAAAAAAAATGTTTCTTTTTAAAAATTGCTTTTGCTTAGTAAGTAAAGCCAGGTAGGCAAAATTTTGCACCACTCTGAACTTGGTAAAATAATAACTTCTTAAAAGACGCAAAGAACCCATCCCTGGGGGACGACGGAGTAAGTACGTACGTCCTCACTGCGGACTGCTGCGCAGCCATCAATCACTGCCTGTCTGTCTCCGACTTGAACAGACGCTGGAGACACTGCTGAGCGCAGAGAAGGGGGCAGGCGCGAGGGGGCAAAGAAGACTAAGGAGGACGGGGCAGAAAGGAATTCTCAAGTTTTCTACATTGTTTGAATTCTTCTTATGAGGATGTATTCTGTGGTATTTAAAACTAACTCACAAACATGCCTCATTGCAAAGTACAAAAACATTACTTGGCAAATCAAAGTTCTCCGCAGCGTCTGGAGACTCCAAGCAGCCGGCAGCCGGCACTTGCAGGTTCTCGCCTGCAGCCCGGGCCCCGGGCGGCCGCCCTTCCGGGGGCGAAGCAGGCCCACCGCGGCCACGCGGGCACCTGCGCACCGGCCGTGCGTCAGCACCAAGGACAGCGGCCTCCCGGGGCGGGGCGGGGCGGGGGGCCCCGGAGCAGAGGTCACGGGGGGGGGGCGACTCCGCCGTGGGCGGGGGTCCCCGGAGCAGGGGTCACGGAGGAGGGGGGGCGACTCCGCCGTGGGCGGGGGTCCCCGGAGCAGGGGTCACGGAGGAGGGGGGGCGACTCCGCCGTGGGCGGGGGTCCCCGGAGCAGGGGTCACGGAGGAGGGGGGGCGACTCCGCCGTGGGGGGGTCCCGGAGCAGGGGTCACGGAGGAGGGGGGCGACTCCGCGTGGGGGGGTCCCGGAGCAGGGGTCACGGAGGAGGGGGGCGACTCCGCGTGGGCGGGGGTCCCGGAGCAGGGGTCACGGAGGAGGGGGGGGCGACTCCGCCGTGGGCGGGGGTCCCCGGAGCAGGGGTCACGGAGGAGGGGGGGCGACTCCGCCGTGGGCGGGGCTCCCCAGAGCAGGGGTCACAGAGGGCTACTCCACAGTGCGGGGCGGCCGCGGGGGCCGACGGGAGGGCCGGCCCCCGCCCCGGCGCGGACACGGGGCCGTCACTCACCGCGGCTCCCGCGCGTGCGGGGTGGCGCCCGGGCCTGATGAACCCCGCGCGGTCGAGGGGGCGGCCCGGCCCACAGGACCAGGCAGAACCGGCCGGCCGGCCAACCCTCAGTGCGCAGGCGCAGTCGCTGGCGAGGGCACTGCGCAGGCGCGGCTCGGGCACTGGGACTCGGCGAGGAGGTGACGGCGGAGGACCGGGGGGGGGGGGGGGGGGGGGGGGTCGGCGCAGGGCCCTCGGTCGGCGCCTGCGCACTCCTCTGGCTCCCTTCTCCGGCCGTCACCCGCGTTCACGCCTTCCTTCCTTCGTGCGTGCTTGCATCCAACCTGCAGTCTGTCTTGCCCTCCGCCCGCCCACCCACTAGACACTTAACTGCCTGTTGCACTCACCAAGCACGTCTAGTAGCTGCGATCCCGGAACCTGAAGTCTCCCGGGGAGGGTAACCTATTAGGGAATAGATGCCCCGTTAGAAGACAGGGCAGAGCAGCTGAGAATGAGGTGCTGGTGGAGTGTCTATCTCACACTGGGGACGGGAGTCGGAAAATGCCCAGCAGGCCGGAAGCGGGATGTGAAGATCAAGGACGGTTCTTTCTCTTGCCTGTGACCACGGAAATGGGTTAGTGTGCCCCTGGTTTCACTCCTGCTGCCTTTCATCAGGTCTCCACTGCAGACTGGGTGAGCTTTCAAAATTGCAAATCAACTTGTCTTCTCCGCCTCAACCTTTCCCGTCTACTTAGGATGAAATCCAGACGGCTTGTCATGACCTTCCCCGTTTCTACCCTGCACTTACCCCCTTCTCAAGTATTTTATCAGCGGGCTGGCTGCTGGAATGGAACCTTCTCCATTTTGCTCACAGCTATAGCTCCAGGGCCTAGACAATAAACTGACGCATAGTACGCACTCAATAACATGAGTTGAATAAACCAATAATCTATCCATCTCTCTCTCTCATGAGCTTTGAATTTCTTGAGGGAAGGAGCCATTAATTTTTTAATTTCTGCCACTAGTGATAAACTTGGCATAGAATATGCTTCAATAAATGCTCGTTAAACAGCGATAAAATAGGGGTCGGCCTGGTGGCACGGCGGTTAAGTGCGCATGTTCTGCTTCGGTGGTCCAGGGTTTGCCGGTTCGGATCCCAGCTGCAGACATGGCACCGCTTGGCACACCATGCTGTGGCAGGCATCCCACATATAAAGTAGAGGAAGATGGGCACAGATGTTAGCTCAGGGCCAGTGTTCCTCAAAACAAACAAAAATAAATAGCAATAAAATAGAACCACAGTGCAGCTGGGGATATAAGACAAATGCTACTGTCTAGTACAAGGTACTACTGGAAAACCACAATGTTACAGAGAGTATGAATGAATGAAGGAGCGGGCACTCTGCTACGTGGGCTGGTCCCCAAAGGAGAAGAAAAGCAGAAATACTTGGCAACCGAGAACAGAACACCCAGAGCATTGGAAGTTGGGGAGGCAATGCAGGCCGTCCATGGAGCAGAATGCTGTGCTGGGTGCTAGTGAGAACCAAGGGAGCTACACGGGATCAGAAAAGAAAGCTAGAACCTGCTCCCTGGACTCACTCCTGAGTAGGGGGAGCACATGATCAATAGGCTGTTTTTAGGGCCTTATTTAAAAAATAAATAATTCATACACCTAGCAAATTGTCTAAACAATTAAAAGGATATGCCAAACGCTACAGAATAAGCACCCTTTACCCTGAACGCCCCCCATCCCCAATCTCCCTCCTCAGAGGCAGCTGCTGTTAAACACAACACGTTTGCAGGACATTCTGTGCGCACGTAGGCACACCAGCACCTACATTCTAGTAGCGTATTACACGAACAATCCTGCATCTTCTTACTTACTACGCCTTAGACCTTTCCAGTCCAGAATGTATAGCTCTCTTTTGTTAATAGCTGTACTCTATTCCACAGAATGTATGTATCACAATTCATCCAGTAAAAGGGGACCTGTGGAAGATTAGGTTACTTTGGGGTGTGGATGCTGCGGGCCGAGGGCAGAGCAGGGAAGAGTTGCTGCTCAGAACCTATGGCAGAGGGGTTCTCCTCTTCTCTCCCAAGGGCCCCTAATCACAGCCTCCAGTCTGGAGAGTGGAGAGGGCGCTGACACCGGATCTGAACACCTGACAGAAGTTAGAGTCAAGAGCAAGATCTAAGTCAGATCTCTAAAACTGGCGTAGTCGGGTGGCCTGTAGGTGAGCCTAGTGGGCGTGTTTTATGTTAATCTGAATTTAGATGCCCTAGGCATTGGAGGCGGTGGCATATGGACGCCTGGGTTCAGAGGTACCACCCACCACGGCCAGACAGCAGAATCACTTCACCTGACTGACCTCAGTCCCCACTAGAGTGAAGAGAGAAATAGAGCCTTGTGGTCAGTTAAGCCCCCCTGAGGCCTGCTGCCACATGTACAGCTGGCAGGGACATGACCAGAGAGTCACTGTGACGAAATGAGAGCTCTGAGAAGTCTTCTCCACTGAGAATAATCACAATAAAACAATCAGTGAGTGAGTGCAGGCGCCAGAGCCTATGTGCTTTCCAAATGTCACAACTGCCTTGGGAAAGGGGGTTACACATGAGGAATCTGCGGCACTGAGGGGTGAAGTCACTGGTCCCCATCACACAGCTAGGCGGGCACCTGAGTCCAGGCCCACAGGGCCACGGAGCACTGGGGTCCCAAGCACCCTGTCCTCTTGGCACCCAGCAGGCGCTTGGCAAAGCGTCCTAAGTGAGGTTCCCCACAATTTCCACCCAACCAAGTCTCCATGTGCAGGTGACACACACAAGGCCTGAGCACCTGGCTCTGGGTGAGGAGGGTGTGAAATGGGAGCCCAAGGCTGCAGGCCCATGTGGCCCCTGTGCCCCCATTTCTGCAGTGGAAGAAAAGATACCAAAACTGACCATGGACTTCTTAACTTTGTATAAAGTGTGCATTTTTTAGAAAAACTAGGTATTTTTTGTAATCATAAACTTTTTTTTCTTTTACAAAAGGAAAAAAACGTCTAAAAGTGAAAAGATAGAGAAAAGAACCGGCTGCCGGCCGCCTGCTTAGAGGAGTGCCAGGTGGAGCATCTGAGAGCATGAGGCCCAGGCCCTCCGGGAGACTGCGCTGTGCACAGGTGGTCACGGGCTGCAGGACAGCAGGGCGGTCTTCCCTCCACGTGCAGCTTTGGAACTCAGTGGCCAGGTGGACTCTCTGCAGACATGAATGGCGATTTTCACTGACAACCTCCACGCACACTCCATCCCTTCTAGTTCCTTCTACAGCATGAGGGAGTAGCGAGGAGAAGAAAACCTCTCCCTCTTAACACTGCTTGTTTCCCTTTTGTTTTGTTTTTTCCTCACACAAATGAAATACACAAAACTAGCATCTTATTTTAACTTGAATACCACTTTTCTATGAAACACAAACAAAAAGGTATATAAAAAAGTCATTTTATTATACTTTTTGTTTGATGGGTATCAGTGCCCTTTAAAATGCTACTATTCAAATACAAATGATTATGTTTACAAAGTATTTACAATTTCAGTCTTCTTCCTTTATATTTTAAAACACAACAGCTATCTGGTTACAACAGTTAAAAAAAATCATAAAGATTGCAAAAAGGAAAGCCTCTGCCTGATTAGGCACCAAATCTGCACAAGTGCTCGGATCCAACCTCCTGCTTCCCACGGGATGCTTTACAACAGTCTGGCCTTACTTACTTAGAACAGATGTCTCTGATTTAAAGAACAACTGCTTTCTACGGTGGCCAGTTGGAGTTTGACAGTGTTCTGGCTGCTGTCTTCATAATTTCTGTTCTGAAGATTTCTGTCAATCACTACATACTGTCTTGGTAAGACCCCTGGTTCACAAGGTCATGCAGGATTCTGCCAACTATAACGATCTGAGGCCTAGATGACTTCCTATACTTATTTTAATTCTTAAATATGGAAAGATTAACCTTTAAAACAGAAGGCCAGGAAAACACTATCCCTGAAGGAAGATTCTTACTTAAATCACTCTATTGAAGACTGCAGGTCAGTGGGGACATCTAGATGTTACTAAATCAAGTGATACAAGTAAAACTCTTTTCTGTACCACATTGTGCATTAGGGACTCGCTGAAGAAAACACACTTCAGAGACAAGAGACTGTCACTCACAAAGTAAGATAGAGCAGGAGTTCCACAATGCAAATATTCAGAACCCCAGTTCTGTTCTCTTAGGAACCTTTTGAGAGATGTATCTAAATTCTCTTCTAGTGTCTAGATTAATAAAAACTTCTATTCCGGCAGCTGTGTCTAGGGTAGTCTAAAATACGTGCACTCAACATTTTATCATCATCTAAAAGGAGACTGCCATGAAGAACAGGAAGAAATAGAACAAGGTGCACAAATTAAAATAGGCTCAAAAAAGAGGATTCCTATCTACGTTAGTTCTGCACATGTGAGGACAGAAAAGAGCAGGACTTTTCCTCGGTAACCAGACTCAAAGGTGCACAGAGAGCCTTCCTACGTGCCGCGCTCTCTCACGACAGCACGTGCCAAACCAGAACGAACAGGTTCAGTTACAGGAAAACAGATTATAGTACTGTCTTGATACATTCAATTAAGTGAAATGTTAAATCCCTTCCATTTTTTCCAACACTTGATTTTTACTTTTTTAAAAATTTCTCACCAAGAGCTCAAAAATCAGCTGCCCAGTTGGCTTCACTAAGTACTGTCATATTATTGTCCACATAAATTAATGGGAAACAAATTACAAGACAAAATACTTCATGTCATTTGAAGTGATACGATGAGGAGGGAAGAGGTTAAATAAAATTAAAAAGGAAAAGGAAAAATATCTCAGTACACCATAACTGATCCTTAGTACACACAGACCTAACTCAATCTGATTTCCTCAACCAAGTAATGTAAAAGAGGCCCAGAGTCGGAGCAGAGAGGGTGTCACGGGACTTGCACCTTTTGCCGGGGTGAAAACTTACAGGTGAGCAGACATCATCAGCCAATCAAGGCCCTGCAATTGCTTCTATTACCTTGCTATAGTGAAAAATAACAACAGTAGCAGACATCGGCCTCCTCTTTTGCCCCTCAACTGGGCCCCTCCTCCACTGCACGAAGAACCACGAGCAAGCGCATCTGCTCACGTCTGA